TATAGTATATAATTATTCTTATGCGTTTAAAAAAAATTATAGTTTATTCACATTAATATTAGCGTTAGTACTGTTTTTCTTACTATAATGATGTCATCATTATTATTATCATCATCATCTTCCTCATTGTCATCTCCATCCTCATTATAATCCCCATTATAAAGAGGATGTTGATGATGAGGAGGAGAAAAAAAGATGATGAGGATGAAGGCGAGGATGAAGATGATGGTGATTATGATTGATAATAATGGTTGTTGATAATAATGATTGTGATGATGGTGATGAGAATGATAGAAAATGATTGATGAGAATGATGATGATGATGAATGATGAGAATCATCCCTCTCATCCTCCCCCTCGTCCTCATCTTCATTCTCGTCCTCCTCCTCATCATCATCCTCATGATGATGATGGTGACTGATGATGAAGAGGATGATGATGATGATGAAGACAGTAATCAGGATGATGATGAGGATGACGATAATAATGAGGATGATGGTAATGATGATTATGGTAATGATGATTATGGTGATGAAGATAAGAATGATGATGGATAGGATGAGGATGATGCGGTTGATGAGGAGAAGAAAGATGATGAGGTAGATGATGATTAATAATGGGTGATGAGGAAGAAAATTATGCTGATAAAGATGGTGAGGATAATGATGATAATACGGAGGAGGATTAGGAATTTGATGATGATGAAGATAAGGATGATGATGATTATGGTTGTTGAGGAGGATGATCGTGATAATGATGAGGATGATTGATGAGAATGATGTTGATAAGGTTAATGATGACAATTATGAGAAACATCCCCTCCGCCCCTCATCCTCATCTCCATTCTTGTCCTCCTCCTCTTCATCATCATCCTCATGATGAGAATGATGATTGATAATGATGGTTAATAAGGATGATGATGATGTGGTTGATGATGATGAGGACAAGGATGATGGATGATGATGATAGATGATGATTGTAATGAGGATGATGATAATGACAATGATGATGATAATGAGGACTATGATGATGAATGAGTGATGATGATAAGGAGGATAAGGATGATGATGGATGAGGATGTTTAGTAGGATGAAGGTGATGGTGATGATGATAACGTTGATTTGTGAGAATGGTGATGAGGGTGACGTGACAATGATGGATGAGGATCAATGCCATAGCCGGGATTTTCAAACGGTGTGGGCCAGTATCAGGGTGGACCCACTTCACGTGTAAATTTAAACAATGTTGACCGGACCCATTTTACGCAAAAATATAAAATATTTGGACCCATTTTCTTATAATTTTTAACCATTTTTAACTAAATATGAGAAATCTGGATCCATTTTATGCATAAAATTACATAATTACCAAATTTTTAAAATGTGGACCTATTTGTTTGTGGACCCAATAGAAAAATTGTTTGGGACTGTCCCAATAGCTGGCTACGCCATTGATGATGACGAGGATGATGATGGATGAGGTTGAATATGATGATGAGGATGATAATGAAGAAAATGATTAAAGATTAGGAGGATGAAGATTATGAGGATGATGATAACGACGATAGATGATTGATGATGACGTGATGAAGATGAGGACGATGACGATGGATGAGTATAATGTGATGATGATGATGATGATGGTAATGATTACAACAATCGATGACTGTAAGGATGATTATGATGATTAGACAACAATGAGAATGATGATGATGAGGATGACGAATAGGATGAGGATGATGACGGATGGTGATAATACTGTAATGATATCAATAGTGGTAATAAAAAATGTATTAATAATATTATTATATAACAGTACTAACAATGTAATTCATTTCAATAATAAAATATAATTTTGAAATAACAAGTATACAGTATAGAAATATATAATATAATAATATTATTAATGATTTCAACAATAATAAAAAAGCATAAAATTTCTATTAAAGTAATAATATTTATATATATTCTATATGTGTACATTGCTTTGATGAGATTGTATTTTAAACAGTAGTAATAATAATAATACTAATAATCTTACAAAAATAACCATTTTCCCCGCAGGATAAACGCCATCTTGGAAATTGGCACTATGATCATTTCAATCAAATTTGATAAAGACAATAAAGAGTAACTAGTTAACTAAGTTTATTGTCAATTTTCACATTTATAGCAATAAATAAACTAGAAGTGACTAAAATAATGCCATAGTTTTTTTTTTCAGTTTACCCCGATCCGAGTCCAGAAATTGAATTGTTGGGTCCTTCAGAGCAAAATTTCGCTATTTCTTTTTCCAGTGGGTTTATATATTCTGATAGTATATGTATATATATATATATATATATATATATATATATATGTGTGTGTGTGTGTATATGTTTTATTTTATTATTGTATGTATAACATTGTTTTGAAATTGCTCTGATAACAATAAAGTTAATTTTACATTATAAAAATGTTTTACCGCCAAAATGGCAGCCATCTTAGAAAAATTTTTTGATGAAGTCATCATTCTGATTAAATCTTTTAACGAAAGTGAAGAGTAACTATTATCCAAGTTCTAGTTACATTTGATATACATAGCATATGTAAAAGTGACTAAAAACATACATTTATTTCCCTACCCCTATAGTGCTATAAAAATAGTTGCCCAAGCTCTAAGAATGGGGATTTTTTTCTGAGACACTATATGATATACTGATTCAGAAAAACAAAAAATAAATTTTCCTTTACTTTTTTCCCGCTAATTTTCTACTGCAACCAGGCTATTGTTGTAAAATGCATTTCAAACCAGGCTGGTTTTTGATTTACGTTTTGGAATAGAATTTGGAGAGGGCGTTTGATCAAGTTAGACCTACGTTTTGAATTTGAATTACATTTTAAAGAAATTAGAACTACATTTTG